CCGGGCCACGGGACCACAGGCTCCTGTGGGGAACCATGGTAAGCTGGACACGGGCCTGCCCTCCAGAGATTAGAGCTGGAAGAGCTTTTCCAGAGCTCCAGCAAGCCCAGGGTTAAGGTGTCCTATAAATGAAGAGGAGCTCTGGGGAAAGGCAAATAATTGCATTGTTGGTGACAAACTAAACTGGCAGGAAAAAAGGTCATGAGGCTGGTTAGGGAGCATCTGAACGAGCTTCTCATGCCAGAGGGGATGGAGGGCTTAGCAGGACGTGGCACGTTGGCCACCACCAGGGTGAGCGTCTGAAAAAAAAAATCCTGTCAGAAGTTTCCCACCAGCAAGAGCAAGTTGGGGATGGGGGTAGGGAGTCTCTGCAGGAAGAAAGAGGCAGGGACAGCCGGAGCTTCATTTTGCAAAGAGTCCTTGGGTCCAAGCCACCCCAGCTGGGTGACTCTGGTCTTGTGGCCAGACTCCCCCCGCAGCCAGGAGCACTTCTGCAATCGGGGGCTGTGAGCCACTCCCCTCCTGGGTTGTCGCAAACATCTTGGTCGGTCCAGGGTGACAACCCAGCTGGACAGTCTCTGGTTAATGCAGACCAAAGAAAAAAAAAAAACAATGCACTAAAAAGAGTCTGGAAAATATTAATTAAGTGAATTGAGGTCTCCCTGCTGCCTGTCCAGACCATTCTGTCCAGGTGGGCTTTTCTTCCTCCCTCGAGGGTCTTCTTCACACAGCTGGTCTCTGCAATGCCACTGCCTCGTTTGTTGGGGTTTTTTTTTGTTTTTCTGTGAATCTGGTTTCAGTTTATCCAACCCTGTGCATCACCACGGGGCCAAGAAGGTGCTAACTCACTCTGGGGACACACAAGACTACCTTCTCGACACATCTAAGGTGCTTCCAGCTTCCAGGAGCTGGTGCTGGTACTGAACCATCAGCGTTAGTGCACTGTATCCATCTCCCTTTCATATTTATGTATAACCACCACAGTTATGATTGCTCGTTGTTGTGAGGAGTGCATATTCCTGTAGCTTTTTTTTTTTGGTTTGGTTTTTTTTTTTTATAGGGAGGGGAAGGGGGTGTGTGTTTTTCTTTTCCCGGTATGCTGCCCCCGCGTGGGGTGGGGGAAGTGTCTGTATACTGTATTTGGGCTAATGTCAAACTTGAAAACTCTTTTGCATAATGCAGCTCCAGACTCTGGATTTTGCAAGAGTCCCAGAGCTTGTGACAGGATGGGTGGCCTGATGTTTGGGGTTTGGTTTTGTTTTTTTTTTTTATTATTTTGTTTCAGTTTGTTTTGGTTTTCCAACAGGTGCTTTTTTTATTTTTTGGAAAAAAAAAACACTATTAATAATAATAAATTAGCAGAGATGGGTTTGTGTGTGTGTGTTGAGCCAAGAATCTCAAATGAAAAAGCTCAGAGTTTCCTTCATTCCTCTCTGGTGCGATGTTTTCGTTTGGGTTGGTTGTTTTTTTTCTTTTTTTATTTTTGTATTGATATTTTGCGCTGGTTGGTTTTTTGGAGGGAGGGAAGCATCGAAACCCAAAACCTGTGCCCCTCTTGTCCTGCCCAGAGAGATGGCTCTTTGTGAAATCCCTTTTTTTGTATCAGAAGCAACAGCAACAATAAAATTATTTTGGGTTAAGCTCTTCCGTGTCTTCCTCTTCGTTGGGTGCCGGGGGCGACTCCTCGCATCCTGGGACACCCTCCAGGGGGGTGACTTGCACCCACACATCCAGAAGACCCCTCTGGGTGCAGCAGAACCTGCTGAGCCTGCTCTCATCACGCAAACTGATGAAGACAAAGCCCACGGGTCCTGCAGTCAGGCTGGGACTGTCCCTGCCCGGAGCCACCGGCCAATGTTGGCCAAGGAGCATCTTCTGCACCGGGACCTGGGGGTGATGCTCCTGCCCCGTGTGCTTTCCTCCCCCTCACCCCATCCCCTCTGGAGCTGCTCCAGCTTGTGCTGGGAGCTGTGGGCGCCCACCAGTTCTCCTCCCAGTGCCTGCTGGGACATGTCA